ACCACCCTCTGTCTTCTTACAGCTAGCCAATTTCTGATCCAAACCGCTAAATCACCCTCAATCCCATGCCTCCGTATTTTCTGCAATAGCCTACCATGGGGAACCTTATCAAATGCTTTACTGAAATCCAAATACACCACATCAACCGCTTCACCCTCATCCACCTGTTTGGTCACCTTCTCGAAGAACTCAATAAGGTTTGTGAGGCACGACCTACCCTTCACAAAACCGTGTTGACTATCCCTAATCAAATTATTCCTTTCCAGATGATTATAAATCCTATCTCTTATAATCCTTTCCAACACTTTACCCACAACCGAAGTAAGGCTCACTGGTCTATAATTACCAGGGTTGTCTCTACTCCCCTTCTTGAACAAGGGGACAACATTTGCTAGTCTCCAGTCTTCTGGCATTATTCCTGAAGACAATGACGACATAAAGATCAAAGCCAAAGGCTCTGCAATCTCCTCTCTAGCTTCCCAGAGAATCCTAGAATAAATCCCATCCAGTCCAGGGGACTTATCTATTTTCACACCTTCCAGAATTGCTAACACCTCCTCCTTATGAACCTCAATCCCGTCTAGTCTAATAGACTGTATCTCAGTATTCTCCTCGACTACATTGTCTTTTTCCTGCGTGAATACTGACGAAAAATATTCATTTAGCACCTCTCTTGAAGGAGTAATGCTGAAAGAATGATAATATATTTCTAAGTCATGATGGTGAATGTCTTGGAGGGAAACTTGCAGGTGGTTTACATGTATCTGCTGCCTTTTCTTCTGTATGGTAGTGATCATGTATTGGAACGTGCTATTCAAGTAGCCTTGATGAGTTGTAGCTGTGCATCTTGTAGATGGTACATACTGCTGCCACTGAGCATCAATTGTGGTGGGAGGTGTTGGTGGATGTGCCAGTCAAGTGCGCTGCTTTGTCCTGGATGTTGTCAAACATTTTGAGTAATGTTGGAGGTACACTCCTTGAGGCCAGTGGCAGGGTATTTCCTCATAGTCCTGACTTGCATCTTGTATATGGTGGTGAGTTACTTGCTGCTGAATTCCTAACCTCTGACATACTCTTGGAGCCACAGTATATCTATGACTTGTCCAGATCAGTTTATGGTCAACATTCCTGGCTCTCAACCCAAATAGATTAACCACATTTAATTCATTTACTATTTCTGGAACCATGTGTTTAAATTCGCTGTTGGTTTATACTGTAAAAGTAATCTGTTGTGTCAAAAGTGCTTTGTGGCATTTCAATTAGAAAGGTCCTGTCTAAAAGTGAATTTTACTTGTTTCAACAGATTAAGAAAGGTCACAGGACACCAGAAATGAATGTACCAAAAGATGGTAAGCAAATTCCCAAAACACCATAAGCATTGTAATTTATCTCTAGTTATGTTGATGTCTTGCCATTTACCAACAATGCATTAAATTATCTTCTGTCCCTGCTCTGTTTCTGTGAACTTTCCTATTGCAAATCCTATGATCACATTTATAACTGTCCCACTATCGTGGCTCTACAACACAATTTGCAGCATGATTTATAACATTATAATTAGCACCAATTGGAATCCCTCCCTAAACCTCCTGGACTCTCTTAATCTCTTCACATCACCACTTAAAATCAAAAGTTTGGACCATGTTTTTAGGTCTAGTAGCTTTTTAGCTCTCCTGTTTACTGTTGGTTTTTGATCAGATTACTATAAAGCACCTAGGGGTATTTTCCTGGATGAAAGGTGCTAAATAAATGCAATTTATATATGTTCAGCTACTGCATTTTTTTAGCTAGTTCTTTTTAATTTCTAATTTCATTGTAATGAAAGGCCAGGAACTCAGATATTTTTCATTGGAAGGGCATTCTGAGTCTGCATAGGAGAAGGTCGGGACTGGAGGCCAATATGATGTAATGTGAATTAGTGAAAAACTTAAGATAAAATAGACATTTGTTTGATCAGTCGCATGTTGGATTCCTCAGGATTAAAGTCATTGGTGTTTATCTGCAGGCTCTCCTGTTCCCATTGGAGCTCGAAACCACAAGGATCATTGGCTGACTAAGCGGACTACATTGATAAGTGAGTGAGATCCCTTGTTTTGAAAAAGATTTCTCTCTGATACCTTGCCAGGTTGCTCGGGCATGAGATGAGGCTGTGGGCCTTACTAGTTATTTACCCGTGGGGAGCGTAATTACGAGGCCTGATCCTTCCTTTGTGTAGATGTACCCATGACCTGCCCTTCAAGTGGGGTCAGGAAACTGTTGCAGTCCCTTCTTTTATTCCATTTGAAAGTGGCTGTAAAATCTAGCACACTCATTTGGTCAGAGTGTGAATTTGATGCTCTCTCCCACATGTTCCTCATAGTGGTACTGAAAGGGGCAGTAGTTAACTGCGTGTGATTCATTTTCATACGTATGAATTTAGGAAGAGAAATAGGCCACTCAAGCGTGTTCTGCCATTTAGCTGATCTGATAATTCCACGTTCAAACCTACCCCTGAGAACTTTCCGCTATCCCCTTGCTTCTCAAGAATCAATCTACATCTGCTTGAAAAATATTCAAAGACTCTGCTTCCACTGCCTTTCGAGGAAGAGAGTTCATGGTGGAAGACACCTATAGCATATAAGAACTTCAAGAAAGTCAGGGAGCAGAGATAAGAGTTGGGGCTGTCACTAAGGAGAAGGTGCTAGGGAACCTGAAAGATCAAATGTTGGATAAATCACCCAGACCAACCAGACTACACCGCAGGGTTCGGAAGGATTTAATTGAAGAGGTGATGGAGGTATTGGTGGTGATCTTCCAGGAATCACTTGAGTCAGGGAGGGTCCCAGAGGACTGGAAAATGTCTAATCTAATAGAAGGGAGGGGGACAGAAAATGGGAAATGATAGGCCGGTTAGCCTGACATAGATCATTAGTAAGATTTTAGAGTCCATTATTAAGAATGAGATTGCAGGATATTTGGATGTGCATGGTAAATTAAGGCTGAGTCAGCATGGCTTTGTCAAGGGGAGGTCATGCTTGATAAATCTGTTAGAATTCTTTGAGGAAGGAATGAGCAAGTTAGACAAAGGAGAGCCAGTGGATGTGATCTATGTTGATTTCCAAAAGAACTTTGACAAGGTGCCGCACAGAAGGCTACTAAATAACATAAGAGCCCATGGTGTTAGAGGCAGAAAATGGGGATTAAGAGATCTTTTTCAGGATGGTAGCCAGTGACACGTGAAGTTCCACAGGGGCCAGTGCTGGGTTCACAACTATTCATGTTATACATTAACAACCTGGACAAAGGAGTTGAGGGCATTGTTGCTCAGGTTGCAGATGATACAAAGGTAAAGTAGAGGGACAGGTATTATTGTGAAGGTGAGGAGGCTGGACAAGGACTTGGACAGGCTAGGAGAATGGGCACAAAAGTAGCAGATGGAATACCATGTGGGAAAGCTATGCAACTTTGGTAGGAAGAATAGAGGTGTAGACTATTTTCTAAATGGGGAAAGACTTTGTAAATCTGAAGCACAAAGGAACTTAGGATTCAGGATTCTCTTAAGGTTAACACAAGGCCATAAGATATAGGAGTAGAATTAGGCCATTCGGCCCATCAAATCTGCTCTGTCATTTGATCATGGCTTATATGTTTCTTAACCCTGAAAGTTGCCACCCAGGTTGATAGAGTTGTTAAGAAGGCGTACGGTGTGTTAGAGGGATTGAGTTTCGGAGCCATGAGGTCATGTTGCAGCTGTACAAAACTCTGGTGCGGCCGCACTTGGAGTATTGCATACAGTTCTGGTCACCGCATTATAGGAAGGATGTGGAAGCATTGGAAAGGGTGCAGAGGAGATTTACCAGGATGTTGCCTGGTATGGAGGGAAGGTCTTAATGAGGAAAGGCTGAGGGACTTGAGGCTGTTTTCGTTAGAGAGAAGGTTAAGAGGTGACTTAATAGAGACATACAAGATGATCAGAGGATTAGATAGGGTGGACAGTGGGAGCCTTTTTCCTTGGATGGTGATGGCTAGCACGAGGGGACATAGCCTTAAATTGAGGAGTGATAGATATAGGACAGATGTCAGAGGTAGGTTCTTTACTCAGAGAGTAGTAAGGGCGTGGAATGCCCTGCCTGCAAAAGTAGTAGACTCGCCAACTTTAAGGGCATTTAAATGGTCATTGGATAAACATATGGATGATAATAGAATAGTTTAGGTTAGATGGGCTTCAGATTGGTTTCACAGGTCGGCGCAACATCGAGGGCCGATGGGCCTGTACTGCGCTGTAATGTTCTATGTTCTAACCCTATTCTCTTGCCTTCTCCCCATAACCCTTCATCCCCTTACTAATCAAGAACCCATTTATCAAAGGCTTGGCCTCCTTAGCCTTCTGCAGCAATGAGTTCCACAGACTAACCACCCTTTGGCTGAAGAAATTCCTCCTTGTCTCAGTTCTAACAATCCGATTCAGTTGGTAGTTAGGAAGGCAAATACAATGTTAGCATTAATTTTGAGAGGGCTAGAATACAAGAATAGGGGTATACTGCTGAGGCTGCGTAAAACTGTGTTCAGGACTGCATTTGTGAGCAGTTTTGGGCCCCGAATCTAAGGAAGGATGTGCTGGCCTTGTCGGAGGTCCAGAGGAGGTTTACAAGAATTATCCTGGGGATGAAAGGCTTATCATATGGGGAGCAGTTGAGGACTCTGGGTCTGTACTGGATGGAGTTTAGAAGGATGGGAGGGATCTCATTGAAACTTCCAGAATACTGATAGAACAGATGTGGAGATGTTTCCAGTAGTAGGAAAGACTAGGACCCAAGGGCACAGCATCAGAGTGAAGGGATAACCTTTTAGAAGCTTAAAAGGAGAAGGCAGGTGAATGGGTTTGAGAAATATATCAGCCATGATTGAATGATGAAACAGACTTGATGGGCTGAATATCCTAATTCTGCTCCTATATCTTATGATCTATAGAATATCTGCCCTTTGAGAGAGAGAATTTCTGCCTGTCTCTGTCTTAACTCTAGTTCCTTGCCCCAGCTTGGCAGTGTCCTGGCCAATTACAGAACAGGTGGTGGTCATTTAACCCTTTGTCAATCAGATTATGGCTAATTTGTGTTTTGACACCATTTTCCTAGTTCAACTAACCTCACACACGTTGCGAGAAGATGGGGGCTGTGGGGTGGGGTGAGATGGGATAGTGGTGGTAGGAAGGAAAATTAAATTGGGCCACCCCCAAATGGGGTAGCACAAAACTGCATTAGATGGTTGCTTTGAGAAAAATGTTGGGGTGAATAAATCTCTTATTAGCTCACTGCATTGCAGTGGCTTGTCCCTTTAAGAGAGACCAGCTGACTTGGTGGCCTATGTGGGCAGACTGTCTGTAGTGGCTCTTTGTCAAGTCTCAGACAAAAGACCTTCTGCTGCCTCTTCAGTCTGTCTGAACTCACAGGCAGCGTGTGTGTGCGTGCGTGTGTGTGGGTGGGTGAAAGTGGGGGCAGGGAATCACATCACCGTCGTGATCCCTTCACCGCACTCCAGCATCCTAAATCCCCACCCAGCAAGCCACATCAAACGATCCAAGCATGGTGCTCCTGAGAGCCAGCATTTTTTTTAAGAAGTCACACACTTTGGTCTGCCCCAGTAAATTCCCTCTCTCCAGCTCTATTTACAAGAGATTTCTGACAAGTAGCTTTAAAAATAGGACAATAACAGTTACAGCCAACATGGCAGCAAGCATTGCAGGATAAGTACCATCCTGAATCCTAGTGCAATCCTGGTTCACTCTTCTCGCCCTGTACATCTAACCCAGTACTCCTCAGACATCCCTCCCCCTCACTTTGAGGTTTCTTCTAAGCCTTTCCCAGGAGATTACATTGTGGCTAGGCTATCGGGGGGATGGGGAAGGGGGTACGGGAGTGCTGCGAATAATGGTGCTTAAGGCATCTTAAAAGTATGCATGTTAGGGAAAGGCTCAGTGCATTGTTTGGTTTTTTTTCCAGCCCTTCATTTCTAACTCTTTTGTTTTCTACACGGCTCCCTTGCTTTTCTATGCTCCCCTTCCAAGCTGCTGCTGCCTCAGCCAATACAAGCCAGTCTCTGTTGCTTGGTCTCTGCTGGGGATTTTGATCTGTCCTTGGACAGGGTGGGGGTGTCAATAGGGTTTTTACTATTGACCTCACTAACCCTGAGGGATTTGGACAGTGTCTATCTACTGAGGTCCCTGCCACTCCTTCTGCCAAACTAGTTTAATGTGAACAGGGTTTGGCTGTAATGCCCCCTGTAGTTGGTGTGCCAGGAACTCAGCTGGCACCCTGGTAAAGAGCCAATGGTTTCAGGAGGAGAAGCGAATTTAAGAGCAGAATTAAAATTGGTGCTGTGGAAACAGTCACTGGATGACACCTGGGAACAACATTCCATTCAGTTCCTGTTAAGAATGTGTCCAAATCTTATTGGTCAACTTTTCAAGAATGGGAAGATCCCATGACAAACTGTTTGTTCATTGCTGTCTTGCCTTCGCGACGCTGGACAAAGAGCCCTTCCTCCAGTGAGGGTAAGGTTATTAACAGATGCAAGCACTAAGCTGATATCATTCCCAGCTGACATCATCTGAGCTTTTCCAGCCAACTGTCCAATCACAGACTGTCTGCTGCCTCCCTCAGTATCACTCAAGGCTAGACATCGATTTTTAGCAGCCTATTCAGCTGTGGTTGGCATCACAGCCAAGCTTGATTTCAGTCTCACCAAATAACATCACCAACATTCACCAAATAACATGCTTTCCAGTAGTGATTGGGGATTCTGGCATATTAATTATATTCTCTCCAGTTCGTGATGTCTAGTTGTATCCCCAGACAGCCTCTCAGTTGTATAGCTTAGAGCACCCATGTTTGTTTTCTCTCTCTCTCTCTCTCACTCTCTCTCTTTTCAGGTCCCCCTCCCCCATTTGCTCCCAAATCTCATTTGCACATATTAACAATGTGTCAAAAAAACTGCATCACCGCGTTGTGTTGATCTGAAATGAAATGTCGTCTCAAGTGTATAATTCTCTGACTTCCTGTTTTCTCTAATCCAGAGTGAAGTTAAAAATACATGAGCATTATTACATGTGCACCCTTTACTTTGGTCCGACTTATTCCCAGTTATGTTGAAAAGGCCACTGGCCAGTGACAGTTATATTAAAAAGCACAGTTCTGTTTGTATTTAATTGGTCGAGGTCCAGTGATGGTTGTACTGAAATGGTCAGTGGCTATTACCTATTGTATTAAAGGCTAGTGCTGGTTGTATTGAAAAGGTTGAGACCCATCACCAGCTGTATTAAAAAGACCAGTGCTAGCTGTATTGAGAGTGCCAGTATCCTGTGCTGGTTATATTTAAAAGGGCAGTGCTAGTTTTATTGAAAGGAGAATTTCCATTGCTGGTTGTATTGAAAGGGCTAATGTCCAGTGCTACTTGTATTTAAAAAGCAAGTGCCAGTTATATTGAAGAGGACAGTGCCCAGTGACGGTTGTATTGAAATAGCCAGTCGCCATTGTCTGTAGTATTTACAAGATCGGTTGTATTGAAAGGGCCATTGTCCGATGTTGGTTGTATTGAAAAGGTCAATGTCAATTGTGTTGAAACAGCTGTGTCTGTTGAAAGGACAAATAATACCAGTGCCAACTGAAGGGACCAGTATCACTACCGTTGTATTGAAGAGACCTGAGCTTATATTGAAGGGTGTAGAAACGAGTGCTCAGGTATATTGAAAGGGCCTGTGGCCACTGCTCAGTTCTGTTGAAGGAGCCAGTAATCAGTTGTCTTTAAGGGGCCAGTGTTTGATGCTCTGTGTTTTGAGGGGGCTATATCCATTTGTAATGTCGAGGCAATGTCCGATTGAAGGTGCCCAGCTGTGTGGCCAGGGCTGATGTACAGTGGGGCCACTGCCCAATAGAGCCAGTGCCCTGTAGAGTGGATGGAGCCATTGCCAAGTTGGGGTCAGTGCCCAGTTGTGTGGACAAGGCCAATGCCTAGTTGGGGCTAGTATCCAGTTGGTTGGACAGGGCAAGGCCAGTTTCCAGTTTAGTGGATGGAGCTGGTGCCCAGTTCATAGACATAGAAGCCGACAGCACAGAAAAAAGGCCCTTTGGTCCATCACTTCTGCACCGGTCAAAAACAAACGCCTAACTATTTTAATCCTATTTTTCAGCACTTCGTCTGTAGCCTTGTATGGCTTGGCATCGCCAGTTGTGTGGATGGGGCCAGTGTCC